CGCCCACGCCCTCCTCCCCCAGGGGCTGGGCGCCCGCCGGCTCCAGCGCGGTGCCGTTGGGCGGCGCGTGGTCCTTGTGTGCCGGCTCCGGCTTGCTCTCGGCGTCCTCGATCACCACCAGCTCTGCCTTGATGGTGCCCTCCAGCCCCAGCACCTTCTTGGTCTCGTTCTCATCCTCCACGTTCTGGTAGCCCATGAAGATCATGGTGACGGGCTGCTCCCGGCTCGGCTCCGTCCCCTCGCCCGGCGGCACCGTGGTGCTCTCCCGCGGCTTCGCTTGCAGCCCCGTGATCTCCCTCCGCGGCGTTGGCTTCTGGCTGCCCGGGGCGCTGCCGCCCCCCTGGCCCCCCTTGGCCGGGGTCTCACGCCCGGCGGCTTCGCTCAGCGTGGCCTCGTCCGCTTTGTGCAGGAGCTCGTCGACCTCGGAGGAGCTGAGGGGGTGGGCCCCGTTCTGCAGGGCCCCGTCCTCGGCGCTCACTGCGTGCACCACTGCAGGGACAAGAGGAGGGAAGGTGAGGGAGACTCAGGACAGGGGCACAAGGTGACCTGGAAAAGCTCCTGCTGGCACAACCCACTTGGACACGGCTCCCACGTGGCCAGGGAGCAGCCTGTTCCCCTCTCTAAGGGCTCTGCCACTGAGGCTGGGACTCCCCACCCCTCTCCGAGATGGAACTGCTGTCAGACCCCCCTCATCACCTGGCTCCTGCCCGACAGCAGGCAGAGGCCAAAATAAAAGCCCAATGTGAGGAGCGGTTCCTGAAGCCTCAGGCTCAGCAAACCCTGTGGGAGCCACGGCTGTCTGCCAGGCCGCCAACAGCCAGCCAAGCTGCCTGTGCTCACCGCGGCAGGACGGCCGGCACCCCGCTCGGCCGGGCTGACACGATGCTCTGTGGCAGGTCACCACTGCCACCTCTGAGACCCCAGCAACACTCAGCAAGTGCTGCCCCAGTGCATTCCCACCAACTCCTGACACATCCTGCCAGGACTGTGGCACCCGGTGGCCCCGTGCCCAGAGGAGACGGGGCTCTCCCACCCCAACACGCTGTGCCGGCTGCTCACGGCACTGGAGGCAGAGATGTGCATCATGGCCGGAGCAGCCACTGGCTTGTGGCGTTTTCCACTTGACCTGGGGCATCACACAACAGTCGGTGCCACCACCGCAGCGGGCAGGCGGTGAGCAAGGCACAGGGACCGGCCTGGCAGGGCCAGCACAGCCGTGGCCACAGGGAGAGGGTTGAACAGGACCGCTGTGCCGTGGTTTCCTTGGAGAGATGGTCCACTCAGCCACCACAGTGCCCAGTAACATGCCCCAGCTCCAAGGATGGACCTTGCCACCACAGTGGTCCCTCGGGTGTCACCAGGCCCTTTAGAGCAGGTTCCCATATATTGCCAAAAGCAGGAGCTGCAGTCCCTACTGCTGCACTTCCTCCATACCCAGCAGCCATGCTCCCCACTGCCAGCCTGTGGGCCAGGCCAACGTGGTGCCAGTGCCACATTCTCTGCCCGCAGGATGGGCTCCTGAGCCTTGGACACAGCAGATCCTCTTCTCTCCTCTCCAGTGGTGCAGGGTCACGATGTGCAAACCAGGGCTGGCCTGTCTGGACCATCCACACCTTGCTGCCAGGACAATCCTGCGATCCGCCGGACTGGGGCCAATGAGGAGTTGCCCTCACAGAGCTGGTGAGGCTGCTGGGAGCAGCCCCTGCACTTCCTCGCCCTGGTGGGTGCCCGCTGGGATGTTTGGGTGGCCGCTCCCTCGTCCCCGGCCCTTTGCTTCTGCCACCGGCCAGCGGCGAGGGCTGGCCCGTACCTTTCATCTCATCCTCGTACACTTTGACCCCCTGCAGACAGTGGTTCTGGGGGAGCAGGGTGGTGCTGGACAGGACCTTGGTCTCCCCAGTCACTCTGTCCTTCTCCACTGTGATCTCCACCGAGTACATGGCTGGGATACAAAGAGGACAGCGCGGTTACGGCGGCCCCGGCCCTCCCCAGCCCCTGCTCCGCGGCTGGCGGCGCGTGGCAGCAGTGCTGTGGTGCTCAGCAGTGCCGTGGTGCTCAGCAGTGCTGTGGTGCTCAGCAGTGCCGTGGTGCTCAGCGGTGCTCGGGGTGCTCAGCGGTGTTAGCGAGGCGGCAGCGAGGAGCGGTGAGTGGCAGAGGCGGGTGCGGCATCCCTGGCACATCCCTCCTCCTGGGACCTGTGGGCTGCCGCCATCCTGGCGCTGCTGGTATCACCTTACCTCCGTGGCTGCTGTGGCCCTGGGGCTGAGCCTAGCCAGGCCCTGGGGGCACTGGCAATGCCGTGTCCATCTGTCCAGCTGGTGAGCGGAGCTGGCTGCGGGGCCCGGGCTGGGAGCCAGGCTCATGCTCACAGAGGTACAGCCCCCACTGAGGGTGCTGGTGCTGGGGCAGCCTCTCCAGCCCCGTGGAGAGGCATCTCTTCTTCAGCTCCCAGCCAGTCCCTGCTGGCACCACGGTCACCTCAGCCCTGTGTGTGGTGCTTTGCTCTGAGGATCCCAAGATGGGCTCTGCCCAGTGCTGGTGCCACGGTCTGGTCTTGAGCCATTGCCCCAAACCAGAGCAAACTCCTCCAGCAGCAGAGCCGGCTGCAGCCCCCCCAGCTCAGGCAGCCCCGTGCCCCTGTAGCTCCCTGAGGCAGCCGGCCCCGGGGTCAGCCATGCCGGCAGCCGACGCTTCGCTCCCTCGCCCCTGCGCAGAGAAGCTGCAAACAGCAGGAAGGATGAAACTGGAGCAGAGACATGGAACTCGGGTGAGGGGGGGCCCTGAGCCATGAACCAGCTGTGGGGTGGAAGCAAAACCAAACCCTGTGATTGCAATGACGGATGTTCTCTGCCCTGGGCTTGGAAAGGCATCGAGCGGCACGGCGGGGAGCGGCTGCGGTGGCAGCGAGCCGAGGACGGCGTGGAGGGGAGGGGGAAGCAGCCAGGAAGGAGCTCTCCTCCCAGGGCAGGGGCACCTACCCGCCTTCATCAGGTCAGTGCCTTCCACCACCTTCATGGGGCTGCTGGAGACCTTCTTCTCGGCTGGAGATGGAGAGGAGAGACGACTGCCTGAGCCAAAATGATCACCTGGTTGTCCGTGTGCCCATGGGACAGGGCCCAGGGACGGTGGCATGTCCCCTGCAGATGGTCCCTGGGACAGGCTCCCCCGCCACAGGGCACCACCGCCTGGGAGGGGACAGGGACAGGGGACATGGAGACAGGGCTTCCGCTGGCTCTCTCTACCCATCTGGCCCCAGCATCGGGGCAGCGTGAGGGGATGGTGGGCATCGAACTGCGTCTGAGGGGGATCAAGGATCACCTACCCTTAACTGTGCCCAGAGGACTCTGCAAAACAGAAGGGAGAGGTTATAGGAGCTGCTGGGACCCTCCATGCACCCACTGCCCCCACACTCATCACCCACACACCCATCCCCACCGGGGCCAGGGACCCCAACCCCACTGCCAGCAGCCCCACCCGTGGCCATGCCCACCTTCTGTGCATTCGGGATGGCTTCGGCCTTCTCCTCCTTGGCTGGGGCTGCCGCCTCTGCCAGGTTCTCCTTGGTAGAAGCCACTGAGCTGCTGTTCTCCAGCATCTCCAGCTCCTTCTCCAGCCTACGGGGAGAGCTGGGGCTGAGAGGCTGTGGGGAGCCTTGACGCAGGCAGTGTGGGGCAG